TCGAGTGACTGAAGGAACCTTACTCGTGGGTGTTGATGTTGAGTCATTATATAAGTCAATACCACATGAGTGGGGGATAGCAGCAGTGTCACACTTTCTGGATATATCCTTTCCATCTATGGGGCCCTGAATGAATGTATCATTAAACCACTGGAGATGGCACTTTATCAAAACTTTTTCCAATTTGGTGGTGTATACTACCAGCAGATTAGAGGCACCTCTATGGGTGCCCCGTGGGCCTCTACCTATGCTTGTCTACACCTTGGCTGGTGGGAGGAGGAATAAGTGTACACATCGTCATTGTACCTCAGCCATACATTTTACAGGTACATCGACGATGTTTTGATGCTGTGGAATGGTACTTTGTGTGAGCTGGAGAGGTTTATGGAGGAACTTGGTAACAATTCCCATAATATTAAATTGACCTATACAGTTGATGCCCGTAAGAACTCATTCCTTGAAATGCCTATCAGGATTGAAAATGGAAGACTTAAGACCAAACTTTTTAGGAAAAAACTGCAGCAAATACACTCCTTCATGCTTCAAGTCACCACCACAGTTCCTTAATTATGGGAATACCTGTAGGTCAATTTATGCAAATCCGTAGGAACTGCTCTGAGGATGCCGACTATAGGAGAGAAGCTGGAGAAATATATTTAAAGAGAGGGGTTACTCACATTGTACCCTTAGAGAGGCCAAGAAGAGGGCTAGTACCCGGGAGAGACATGACCTGGTAAGACCTAAGGAGGTTCACAAAAGCAATGTTGTATCTAATGATGGTCCAGTGAGAATTATTACTCAATTTGGGACCCAGTGGAATGAGGTACGTGAGATTCTTGATAGACATTGGCACATACTGACATGTTCACATAATCTACAGGCAATTGTTGGCCCTAGACCTTAGTGGCTAAAGGGCCAAAAATTTAAATGATATGCTTGTACAGTCTGAATTTATAAGAACAAAAGGTAGAACCTGGCTGACTGACCTTCAGGAGTTGAGAGGAATATTCCCATGTGGGCATTGTAATGTCTGTAAATTTTGTGGAAAGAATGGAGATGTTCACTGACTCTGAGGGAGAAAAATTTTTATCAGATAAAACTATTTATAAATTGTGCCACTACCAGAGTACTTTACATCATTGAATGCCCATGTAAGAAATATTACGTGGGCAAAACTAAACGTCAACTCCATATCAGGGTGGATGAACATCTTAAAAGTATAAGGCTAAAAGAAGATACACCACTGGCTCAGCATTTTGTTGAATTCTATGAAGGCCAGATAGCAGGTTTGAGAGTTAAGGGCTTTTATGCCCTTAAATGATCTCTTAGGAGAGATGACTTTAACACTGTGTAATTGAAGAACGAAAAGAGCTGGATTTTTAAACTCCAAACTTTGGCTCCCTTGAGTCTGAATCATGAAATGAGCTTAAAGGTGTTTCTTGAACAATGATTACATCTGAGTCTCTACCATGTTTGAAATCACCTTTATGAATACCATTAAACTCTATGTCTAGGTCTGAACTTAATGTGACCATGAATGGATTATGTATTTGTTTTGTGTATCCAGCTTATGAATATTGATAGTACTAGGAGATACTTCAGAATCCGCCTGTCACTGAATGTACCTTTTCTTATTTTTAATATGTAACAATTGATCTGTGTAATTTATGCTTGCTGTCCTTTTAAATATGGGACTGCCCTTGGCTATTACTATTGGTTAAATTGGATGACAGTCCCTTTAAGAGGCCAGGGTGCGTATGTCCCGACGTCCTGATGAAGCTCATGGTCTCGTGGGCGAAATGCGTTGATGTAGGAAGTGTCAGCCAGTTCCAGGCTATGCCCTCACCAGCGGTGATGTCTGTATCTGCCCAACGCTAGCACTTTGGATGGCGGTTACCTCCGTGCTACCCTTACTCCATTACTAATGATCTCCGCTTTGAGCTCTATCATCAAGAGGACATTCCATCTGACCTGGCTGGGTTTTGGAGGCTGCAAACTTTCGGCATTGTCCAGAAAGATACTTCATCTCACTCTGCTATATCCCCTAAGTAGAGGTCTGGATACTACATAGGAGAGCAACAACAGTGTGTGGAGTGATAAAAGTCTGTGGGCACATTTTATGTGGTGGTTTCCTCCGTATGTGCTGTAATCCAATATTATCTCAACCTGATGGTTACTGGCCTCACCCACAAAGGATGTACTGAAATATACCCTTTGCACGAATTGCTACTAGATCTGTGTTGTTCCCACTACTGTGCGTGCCCTTCAGGTCTGTTAACCTTCTGTGCAAGTATTTCTTGGATATATCTGAGCCATCTAACTAGCTCACTTACTATATAATATGCCCAGACAGCGAGCTTTTGAAACTTGCCTCTTTTTCAGCTTACTACCATGTCCTCTATAGGGGTATTTCAATTTTGCAGAGATTGTGTTTCTGGACTTGGACCTATATTACCCAATTAAGGGTTCCAGCTTGGCTCAAATTTAATTCAGATATGACAGTATGTCAATATATGATATAGTTGATAATGCTGTTATTTATACAGTGGGCCTATTCTCTAAAGTCCAGTCACTAACATCATCACTGTGTGTTTTTGTTGATTGGGTAGACAGTTATAGCCTGATACTGTGGTTTTTGGCACCCATTTAGTGTGACTCTGGAGATTATTGACCCATTGTGCTATGCTCTTAACATACCGACTGTTTGTTTATAGCGTTTGAGAGTGTATGAGAGTGGCCCGGGCTTGGGTTTTAAGGAGTTAACGTTATCTTACCTTATTTTAATGGTGAATGAGGGGTTGTCGGTCATTTGGCCTTATTACCTATATTGATCTCAATAAAGCTGTCTAACCTTATTACACCGCAGTTGGTTCTCTTTTAAACTTCTGTCCTAGGGGATTCCACTGGTCTCCTAACAATTTTTGGTCTGTGTTTGCTGAGTCGGTGATTTAAACATGAAGTCCTGAAATCTGTTTCCCTATTTGGGAGAGGTATAATTTTTGTATTAGTTTTAATTTATTTATTTAAAAGACTTTGCCACTCACACTGTTTGTATCTTTGAAAATGAAAATTAAAAAAAAAAACACTAACAACTAATATCATTGTAATTATTAACCCCAAAAAGTATAAAATAAATGAAGTCAATATTGCCTCATATATATCGCAGCACAGTAATATAAAGCTCACAATAATATTTTTTTTAAGTGATCTAAATATCATAGTGTCAAAGAAAACATAAAATACATAAAAATACAATATTGTTCTGTGCTTACATGAAAATCCAATAATGCTATAAAATGTTCAGTAAACAAATATGAAAGGAAATAAAGTGCCCACTTCAGTCTTTCATTGCTCTCTTCTGTGAAAAAATATCATGCATCTGGTAACAAAAAAACTTTTCCACCCTGTGATAAATGTTCTGCTGTTCATCACTCAGAACAATCCACAGTGATCCTTTCACCACAATAATCAAGTCCGCACTCACCAGAGTAAAAAGCCTTTCTTTCTCATGAAAAGGCATACAAATGCAAGCTGTCTTACAAGGTATCATCCTCTGTTAGCATGAATGGCTGCTCAGGGCTCCAAACTGCAGTGTCTCCTCTCCACAATTGAGTGAAACCAGGCTCAAGATGTCTCTCAAGAAATTCTTCTCTGCCTATGTGGTTAGCTGTTCTAGACTCCAAAAGGATGATGATTCACCCACAGAAAGAACATTCTCACATGCAATACATTCTTATGAAGTCATTTATTAAAATAACTATTATTATTAGGTAACAAAAAGCATCTAAGCATGGTGAGTAAGTGGGCACTCTGTTACACCTCTAGCTCAGAAAGCTTACAGACACTACCTGAATCCAGAGATTATTTTGAATGTAACAGCCTCAGTTTCAGGTCTGAAGTGGCAACCTTGCATTTTGCATTGTGACTGGGGGTTGGGAGGATGGGCTTTCAGGACCCCAATTACAGATCTGGACCCCAATTATAGATCTGGAAATCAATGATATATTGTGTGTGTCTTGTTTGGAAGCTCCCTTGCTGTTTTCCAGCTAAAGTGACGTATTACAGCACCTCTATACCTCTTAGCGGTTTACAACTTTCACAATTTGAGACATTTTCTGAGAGTGTTTCCTGCAAGCAGGTGTCTTTGCTAGAACAGATTACCAAGGTTGGGAAGCAGACTGATGAACATGGGTATGTAGCAGAGATGTATTAGAATAGGCAGCATAGCTCCAGCTAAGGTTTGGGCCAATTGTATCTATGGAAAAAGGTAGTCTAAAAAAGAATGGCCCAACCCACTATCCTGAAATATTTGGGATTTTTATTATATTACTATTATTATACAGGATTTATATAGCACCAACAGTTTGTGCAGCGCTTAGATGACTTTTTAGGACCTTTAATAAACTGCTGGTCAAGGTTAGAAATGGACATCACTAGTGTTGGTGCTGTGTACAGAGTACACATGATTATGATCAGTAACTAATAGAAATGTTAAATCTGTAGCCAAGAATTGAGAGCTGGAAACAATAGTGAGGCCAAAGTTAAAATGAAAATATCAATTAGAGACAAGGCAGAAAAATAAATACAAGTAGTGACAATGGACGGCAAACCTTGCAACAAACACAGATAATTGCTTTTGGTCTGTTTAAGTGTTTCCACCCATAGTGGTACCCCTTTCATCAAACTACAACCTTTCAACTGTACTTGATTGCATCCAGGTCTTAAAGCTGAGCAGAGTTCTTCTTAACAGGTTTACAAAAGAACAGGTAGAAACTGGGGACTGGGAAACAAGTCTAACACCAAGAAGAAACATAGCACCACTGGATAAAGAAGTCAAGGTATTAACTGCAATTCAAGAAAAACAAATGTTACACCAAAAAGATAGCACAGGGAGACAAACTAGAAACCTATCAAGGAACTGTAATACCACAAAGGGAGCATGTGGACATAGGCAAGGTGAGAAAAAAAAATATCCAGGTGGTAGAAGTATCACATAGTTAACCACAACATATGATGGCTACCTATCCATTTTGGCAATAAAAATGTATGTGGATTGTTATAACTTGCATTGAAATTATAAAAAATATTTTTCTTTTGCTTTGGATAGTGTGTCGAAGGTTTAGAACTTCTGTATCCAGGGGCGGACTGACCATTTGGAAACTCGGGCACTGCCCGAGGGCCCGGGGTCAGTAGGGGGACTCCATGAGATGCCCCCTGGTACCTTTTTCATAGGCTTTTTTGAGTTTGGTCAAGGACACAAGGGCCCCATGATCCCCTATTGCTCGGGGGCCCTATGAGTTGTCAGTCTGTCCCTGCCTGTATGGTTTAATTATTTGTCTCTGCTGTGGATATTCACTCTCACTATTGGACAGGTTACCATTGTCTCCGTTACAGAAGGTTAAGTGAACTCTAAAATGTTTTAGTTGTCACATACAGCAGCTGAGATGAAGTAATTAAAAAAAAAAACAGTTCTGGTCACAACTGTCTAAGAGGGGAATTCACCATGCTCTTGAGATATTTCCTCTTACTTCCTTATGTGTCTCTGGAACAGGAAGTGAATGCAAATCTTTCTGATAAGACCCAGAAGATTAAAAAAAAAAAACAACATGACAGTTGTCCTTACCATTTTCTATAATGTGCAGAGAAAGTTTTGGATTTACATATACATTAACATTTCAAAAAGGAATGTAACATGTTTATTATGTATGTTCATAAGATCTTTCTTCTTGTACATACTGTAGCAATTCTACAAAACGTGTTGTTAGGTACAGTTTAGAACAAGCAAAAACTATTACGTTGTGTAGGCTTTATTTTCCTCAAAGGCATTGATTGTCTGTCTCAGCTCTGAAAGTAAAATATACTTGAAAGAAAACACTGTTTTAATCATGTCATCATCAGTTATCAATAAAATAGGACAAAACAAGTTTCCCAATTAATGTGAAGACTGGAGAGACTTGACTGAATTTATATTGATCTATATTAGAGATGTGATTTTCTTTGTCTGTGTATTTTAGCAGTGCTTTACAATGTATAATGTTTTGCTTATACTTAAAAGTGACATGTCACTAGGAATTAGCAAATCTACCTTGGTTAAACTCGCGGAGGGTAAGGATTCGAAGAATCCTGCTTGAATCTGTAAAACCTAAACTTGGCAGCACACCCTACTGAATCTATAGTAGGAGATCTAGATAGAAAATTTTGGCTAATAGGCAAACTATTGTCAATACAAGGGCACATAGATCTGGACATTGCCATGGAGGGTATTTAACAAAGAAATAAAAATTATTTTTAAAAATGTATAGCGTGGGGAGAAGGTCCCTCTAATGTGGCTTCAAGGAAACCTAAAATCTTTTAAATTACATAATTTTTAGAAGTGTTTAAGTTGCATGTGATGCTATAGAACAGTGCAATTATGACAGACCACGTCAGCGACACAGTCTTCTAGCATCACATATATTGGATGTGTAGTTAATTTTTAAACATTTATTTAGCTTGGTTTAAATAAAGCTGCAGTTTCATGTCTGATGTATTAACTTTATAAAAAGGTTTTCCAAAGTTGTTTTCAATATACAATAAATTGTATTATTTGAAGGATAATAGCCACAAATTTTGCTGGGCTTCATTGTTGGAGGGAGAGACATTTTGTTATGAAAAATACATTAGATTGTATTATTTCAGAGACAATACAGTTGTGCTTAAAAGTTTGCATACCCTTGGAGAATGGGTAATAGTATGTACCATTTTTAAAGAAAACATGAGTGAGCAGGCAAAACAAATTTCTTTTATTTCTTATGGGATTCATTTTCAACTGCAGGTCATAACAGAATGGCACAATCATAAATCAAAACATGGCAACAAGTAAACAAATGAAATGACCCCTTTTCAAAAGTCTGCAAACCCTTAGTTCTTAATATTGTGTATTTCCCCCTTCAGCATCAATGACAGCGTGCAGTCTTTTGTAACAGTTGTCTATGAAGCCCCAAATTCTTACAGGTGGTATACCTTCCCATTTGTCTTGGCAAAATTCCTCCAGGTCATGCAAGGTACTTGGTCGTCTTGCATGAACCGTATGTTTGAGATCTCCCCAGAATGGGTCATGATATTAAGATCAGGATACTGTGAAGGCCACTCCAGAACCTTAACCTTTTCTGCTGTAACCACTGGAGGGTCAACTTGGCCTTGTGCTCAGGGTCATTGTTGTGCTGGAAAGTCCAAGAGCGTCCCATGCACAACTTTTGTACAGATGAATGCAAGTTGTCTGCCAGTATTTCTTATAATATGCTGCATTCATCTTGCCATCAATTTTCACAATGTTCCCCATGCCTTTAGAGCTCACACCCCCCCCCCAAAACATTAGTAAGCCACCACCATGCTTCACATTGGAAATTATATTCTTTTAGCTATAGGCCTTGTTTACCCCTTTTTAAACATAATACTTACGGTTGTGACCATAAAGCTGTTATTTTTGTCACTCTAGATTAGTGTGCCAGATGTTGTGAGGCATGTCAAGGTTTTGCCGGGCTTCTTGTAACTGACATTGGCACACTAAAGGCTTCTTTCTAGCAACTCGACCATGCAACTCATTTTTGTTCCAGCATCGCCGTATTGTGCTCCTTGAAACAACCACGTTGCCTTTTTCCAGAGCAGCCTATATTTCTCCTGAAGCTACCTATGAGTTTTTCTTTGTATCCTGAACAATTCTTCTGGCAGTTTCTTAGTCTACCTGACCTTAGCTTCATATCAAGAGATGCCCGCATTTCCACTTCATAATATGTGATTAAATAATACTGACGGGCATATTTAAGGCTTTGATATATTTTTATATTCTTTTCCATCTTTACAAATTCCCATTACTTTGTTATGCAGGTGTTTTGACAGTTCTTTTCTGCTCCCCATGGCTCAGTATCTAGCCTTCTCAGTACATCTATGTGAGAGCTGACTATTTATACATAGGCGCAATTCAAAAAGCCACAGATGTGGGAAATTAACCTTTAATTGCCATTTTACCATGTGCATGTCACCTTGCATGTCTGTACCAAGGCCAAACATTCCAGGGTATGTAACATTTGATCAGGGCAATTTGGGTGATTTCTGTTATTATGATTTAGGCTCCATTCACACCTATGCAGTTTGCTTTTTGTCCATTTTTCAGTGCTTTTTACAGTTCATTTTGTATTTTTCTACACACGTTTTGATGCATTTTTGGTGCTTTTTGATGCATTTTTGGCGCGTTTTACCACATTTTGTGTTTTTTTCTAAGATTTTTTTTGTTAAAGTGGATTTTTTTTTGTTGCTGGGCAGAATATAAATGCAAAACGCTGCGAAACCGTGGCAAAAACACGGCAAAACACATCTCCATACATTTCAGCAGCTATTGAACTCTATTGTAGCAAAAATGTTGATTTTTGCTTTAAAAAAAGTCTCTGACCCTTTCCAAAAATGCAGTAGCTCAAAAAAGCATAGATGTGAACATGTTCCATAAAAATAACCAACCTTATTCAATCAGCACAATCTTTCAAGAGTGACAAAAATATTTTGTGAACAAAAAATAATAATAAACAATGAATGAATATTAACCGCTTCCCATCTGCCCGCCCGCAATGTACTGCGGCAGGGCGGCAGCTACAGGCAAAGTGGTGTACAGGCTGTACTACCCCTCGTGACTGCTCTGTCCGGTGGACACAGCGGAATGAAGATCCTGGTGAACGGGACCCAGTAATCATGTGATTGCTATGCGATCACATGATCACAATGTAAGCAAAGCTGTTATGAATCAATCTCATTCATAACAGCTCTGCTCCTCTTCCTAGTGAGCTGTGATTGGACCACAGCTGTCACATGATACATGGGGCCAATCACAGCACCCTGTACCATGTGACCAGCTCCAGCCAATCACAGCTCAATATCCTGAGATGTCAGTTCATGAATGAGTTAGGTTCATGACAGTAAGCTTTGCATTGCAGGAGAAATGATCTTTATTTCTCTTGCAAAGTGTAAAAAAAAATCCCTGATTTAAAAAAAAAAATTTAAGAGGTTTTTTTTCAACTACTTGCCAACTGCTTACCCGCATTTTGCAGATGAGCAACAGCTCTTGGCAAAGCAACGTAATCTTGTGTCACTTCCTATTTTGTTGTGTGAACGCACCTGCACCCTCCACTGCCCCCCCCCTTTGGTCCAGGGAGAGAAGAGAGAACACGGCACTGAGTAAAAGTACCACATTTTACACACATGCATTAGATTAGCACATTTAGCCCTTTGATCACCGCGCCACCCAACCAGTGCCATTAGTACAGTGTCAGTATATAGAATTTTTCCCTGATCACTGTATTACTGCCACTAGCGACATATAATGTCAGGGTCAGTAAGCGTCCTTCCCAGCCAGGGTCAGCTAGCGTTAGATTGCTTACACACTATCACACTCATGCTATAGGTCGTTGATCACCACCATTACTAGGATAGTGTTTGTACGGATCAAGATATTGATCACATACAGAATTATACTAGTGCCTCCTTTGTATAGTGTCCCCAAAAACGCAGTGTTAGTAGGATCAGCCCCGTTCACTGCCAGCACTAGCATTTAGCCCCTCCGCTGTTTTTCACTGAAGATTTTTACCAATTGATTGTGGGCCAAGGCAATTTATATGCACAACAATACATCATCGCCCACCCAAATTCAGCTCTTGCCAGACAATTCACAAGAAAATCTATCACTTTTTCTGAATTTTAAAACTCTTTGGGCCTAACCCTCAACATGGGCATTACAAAAAAGAATGAATTGCAGTCATATTGGTCCACAGAACCGATTCATCATATGCCCGTGTTCTCTGCTGTTACATATATGCCCAACATGGACCAGCAATGTACTGGTATGTCACTGGATTTTGAGTGGATATACCGGGATGATGCCTGCAGCTACAGGCATCATCCTGGTATTATTTTTTTCAGCTGGCGGTCAACTTTCATGTAAAAGCAATCCTAGTGGCCAATAAGCTGCTGAATTGTTTTTACGAGCAGGAAGAAGAAGGGACATCCCCCCCCCTCCTGCTGCCTTCCACAGTTTTCTTGGGCTCTCCTGTCCCACAGAAGAATCTGAGAATGCAGCTGGCAGACCACAATGGCTCCAATCATCTCTATAGTCTAAGAAATTTGAAGCTATTCATCATTCATCATTCCAGTTTTGCAGGATATAAATATCACCATTTGTAAATTGGGAAAGCATCTGATCACACCGATCTTTGGTGAGATTAGATAATGTAAGGGCAGAGGAGATATCAAGAGTCTGATAGACC